TTGTAGGTATGTCAAGCTAAACAATAAGGTAGGATAGATTACTTACGATTATGGAGCTCGAAATGGGTGTTTTAGGATCGAAAGCAACTTGTAGTGAGAGAGAGTAGAGAGAGAGTGAAAAGGTGTAAATGAGGTTCACTCACCCTTTTATAGGGTTTAAGTTTGTGGCTCGGTGGAAATCTACCCGATACTGACGTTGAACGGGGCTTTTGGTCGTACCCGATTGAATGGTTGTAACTCGATGGGGTCGTGAATTAGAAATTCTTAAAAAGTGTATCGAGGGCTTTCACGTGTTTCTACTGCATTTTGAACACTCATGAAGTTATAGTAAAAGTCCCAATTTAATTAACCTAATCCAAAAAGGTTAACGGAACAATTTAATAAAACAAGTTTTATTAGCGAAATAAGGGTTTACCGTGACAGAATAAATTTCAGGTTGTCACATCGGGTCACTGCAGAATTCTGAAATTGACAATTTCTACCCATTTTTGAGAAATTTTGTCAAAGGCGGTCAGTGAACGAAGCTAAAAATTGAAGATTTTTTGGGTTTTGTGGATTGAAGCAAAAAGTTTATGCCACATGTTAACGGAGAGTTTTGGCAAGAAAAATTCCGAATATAGCACGTTCTCCTTCCTTGTTGGTTTTATAATCAAATTTCGATTATAAAAAGGGGGAGAAATCTATATGGAAATTCGAAAGTTGAATTTTTCATATTACGTGGACTTGAAGACCGAAGTGACCTCGAGTATTTGAAGCTTATGAAATGATTTGATTGGAAATTTGGAAGTGGTTTCGGTTCATGATGGCTTTGAACTTATTGAAGATTTTTGGGGTGTGTTTTTATGCTCAATTTTAGGGTGATTATTTGGAGTTTTAGAAGCTCTTGATCATTCGTTGATGCTCAGTTCGTATGGTCTCACATCCTAGAACCCATATTGAAGAATCATGGAAGAATTGAAGATTTGAAGTTCATCTTTACATGTGTCACGCTTGAGGCTTCAATCTCGTAGTTGCTCGATTTTGGAAGATTTGAAGTGGGTCATCCATTCCTAACTTTGAAGGGGAGAATGTTGGGTACAAAGTTATCGATGTATGACTTTGTAAATGGTTTGAATTTTGTAGACCCACTTGCATGTGATGCATTATCCTTGTGACATGATATGTAGAGAGTGTGAGAGAGACATGTAAACACCTCTATATAAGGTGGGCTCATACCACTTATGGAGGTGTGCTTGAGAGATGTAACATTAAGCGTGTGTGTGTGTGTTAATTATGTAGATTTAGATCTAGATCATTTTTTTGTGTAACACCACACATAATCAAATGCATCTCTTAAACACCCAAATCACCGTGTTCATTGTGTGTTCTTTAATTCTGCATGCCAAACCAATGTTAATAATTCACTACACTCTCGTTAAGCCATGATTGAATTGTGGAGAAAATGGTGCACTAAGGGTATTTTTCTCTGTTTGTAATACATAAATCATTCTGCTTGGGAGACACTTGTTGAAATGTGAAGTAATTAGAAGGTAACTAATACCAATATTGATGAGGCGAAAGACACAACTAGTGAAAGTAAGCAATGTTGATAATCTTTTGTACAATAGATCATTTGATAGAATTGTTTTCATCACTTTTCAGTTTTCCTATGGTCGGTCCAGACGGTGGGCAACCCAGACGACCACCCAGGGCCCACGTCTCTAAGGGCCCAAAATTTTTGGGCTATGTAGTGTATATATATAAAAATTACCTAATTGATTTTTAAGCCCTAAAGTTGGTTCAAACTCAGATTAGCTCAAAAGATAAACAATTTAGTTTGTTTGTTATGCTAATTGAACATGTCTATGGTGAAGATTAAATGATATTTTTTTTTGAATCTTTATGATATTTTTCTTTGAGGGGCCTTTTTTTTCTTTTCGCCCCGGACCCCATATACGTTTGGACCGTCCCTGAGTTTTCCATTTTACTTCATGTTTTAATCCTGTACATATTCTCACCTAAGAGTCATAAATGTTCGTTGTTTCCTGAGTGTTTATGGAATGTGTATTGAATGTAGGATTAACCTATTAACCACTATGTTTGATTAAAGTAAGTTGTTATTAAAATGGAAATCTAACAGTGAAACATAATGAAATTCCAAGTTTAGGGTTGTTCAAGAAGTTAAAATCTATTTCTTCTTATCTACTATTCTGCTTGGAATAGAGAATATACTAATTTTTAAGCCATCAGTTGTGTTTACTCTTATCTGTTTGTGCTTAGTTAGGCTAGGCATGTCGACATCTTGCTCACCACCTGAACGCATATAATATAAGACTTTTTATAGGGTTCTAAAACCATCGTCCAAGCTACTACAAAACCGAATACGTTGATTATCATTTGTGTCATTGTTTCGTTGTACTTAGTTAAAACTTTAATACAAGATTTTTTTTTGTAATGTTTTATGTATAAAAATATATGGTTTTGATGTAAGAATATGTCTTGGAGTTCTTGATAAACAATGTGGCAAATTTTTTTTTCAAGAAACTCAATATACTTTTGCTTTCATGCCATGTTTTTATAAGAAAAATAAAAGAACTTTGAAAAAGCAAAATACAAAATGCCTAATCACAAAATATGAAAGTTTGAAACACAACATATTAACAACAAGATATTCGTGAACATTTTTTTTTTATTCATGTTTCAACCGAAGAAAAAACACATCCCTATCTATGCACATATGAGAATAGTAAAATGTTAAAAAAATAACGTCTTTTATGTAAATATTTATATATACACATCCAACAAATGCAACATCGAATATGCGTTTGACATATGTTCTTTGAAATATAACATATTTCCAAAAGGAAAATTTTTTCACTATCTTTATTTATATTTTTTTCTACGATAATAAAAAGGAATTTGCAAATTTATTATTAATTATTATGTATATAAAATTTAAAATTTGTTTTACTTGGCAGACCCCGCATCGTACATGGTTTATAATCTAGTTCATCATATGTTACTAAATACATATACTCAGATATGATTAAATGCATGAGAAAAGTTATTGAATGAAAACATAAAAACGAATCTTGTTTATATAAATTATGTGTGATTAGATATATATAATCATATGTGATTCTATATCTTTAATTATTTGTAATTTATGTGATAAAATATATAGAATCAAACATGATTTATGTGATTATATGAATTCAATCACATTTGGTTGTATGTAGTAGGTGGTGATTGTACGGTGGAGATGGGTGGTAGTGGATGGTGGTGGAGGTGGGGATGGTAGTAGGTGGTGAAGGGTGATATTGATAGGTGGTGGTGGTCATGGTCGTGGATGGTGGGTGATGGGGATCATCGGTGATAATTGGTTCATTGTAGTGGTGGGTGGTAACGATGATAGGTGGTGGGTGGGTCAGTGATTGTTGTGTTGATGGGTGGGTGATATAAGATGGTGGTTGCATGTGGTAATGTTGGTGGTGATGGTGTGGAGGTGGGTGGTGGTAGTGGGTTGTAGGTTGTGTTGGGTGGATGGTGGTGAGTGAATGGTTGTGGTTGGTGCTTAGTGGGTTGTAAGTCATGATTATAGATGGTGTTGGGTAATGAGTTTTTAATTGTTTTTAACTATTTTTTATTTATATGAATATTATTTTATAATTTTAATTAAAAAAAAAAATTTGTGCTTTGTTCTCACAATAAGAATTTTTTTTCGATTGAACGCTTATATATATATATATATATATATATATATATATAGAGAGAGAGAGAATTATAAAATTTTTGAAATTTTGTTAAAAATAATGTAAAAAAAGAAATTAAAATGGCAAAAATGTCATTTCAAGTTTTCTAAGCACAAAATAATAATAATAATAATAATTGGGCCAAATGGTGCAAGTTGAAAATATTTTGAAACTTCTAAAAAAAAATTTGCTAACTATAAGGACTAAATTTGCAATTAATCTAGTTTTTTTATTAACATAGACTGAAATACTTATTAAATATAAACTCCTCATATCAAGTAGTGGAATTATTAAGCTAAAAAGTGCATTGACTCCAACGGTAATAGACTAGTTTTAAGGTCGATTTTAAAAATTCGATCCCTTCATCACCCTAACCATTGGAGATAATCTAAGATAGCATTCTAAAAAGTTATTTGCGATAATTTATTACGAAACTCATAGGGTTTATACTACAAATTTTCCAATTTTACCCTTATATGTTCATTTTCCAAATATATCTAAAGGGAAGTCACAACAATTTTTTGTCATACACAACAATTCATGCATTATATACTTGTACAATACAACATTTTAAAGCACCAATTGTTGTGTATGGAGAAAAATTGTTGTGTACGGATCAGCTCCCAATTTTTTGTCATACACAACAATTCATGCATTATATACTTGTACAATACAACATTTTAAAGCACCAATTGTTGTGTATGGAGAAAAATTGTTGTGTACGGATCAGCTCCCATATCTAAATGTCCTTTTACAATAATTTTGAATTGCCACCCTGCATGACATGAGAGCTAGCTTTAGTCAATACTACTACTTTACCAGCTACTTTATCAAGCAAAAAACTTTGTAAATATTTATATAATTCATTATACAAGAAATTAAGAATAACCCATCAACTAGCTTGTTTTTACCTCTAAAGAAGCATCATTTCACCTTATATGCATTAGACAACTTCTCTTTAAAAAGATATAATGGGGGTACTTTGGTCTTCTAACAAAAAACAGAAGAATGGAATTGAATTCCTTCCACCCAAACAGACACAACTTTATCATTTCATTACCTCTGTAGATTGTAGAATCTTCCACCTTTTGTGCTCTTGTATCTTCCATTTTCAAATTGTCAACCAAAAGCATCAAACTTTAAAGGTCAACACCACCACCCCTATGGACCCCACTCAATGGGTCCCACATGTGGAGGGTAAATTAAATCACAACATCCCCAATAAAAAAAGGTGATGCCAAGATTTAAACCTGAAACCTCATTTACAAATCAAGAAGTAACAAGATTGTTATAAAGATGTCCATCAATATCAGGAACAAATCCTCTCTCCATCATTTCCTCTTTAACAATATCATAAGTTCTTTGATTAGGCACCAAACCTTTCTCAAGCATCTTGTTAAGAAACACATTAGCTTCTTCCAATTTACCTTTTTCACAAAAAGCCTTAATCAACACATTATATGTAACAACATTACAACGCCTCCCTTCTTTCTCCATTCTTGTCATTATATTTAAAGCACCCTTGAGATTACCCTCCCCACAATAACCAGCAATCAAGATATTATAAGTCAGCTGAATAGGAATCAAACCCACTACAGACATCTCATTAAGTAGCTTAACTGCCTCCCCTGTTTTCCCCTGTTTACAAAGTGCACCAATTCTTATATTATATGTTACAATATCAGCTTTCAAATCTTTTTCCTTCATGTTATCTAAAACCTTGTTAGCTTCCTTCATGTTTCCTTCTTTACAATATCCAGTTATTAAAGAATTATATGTTGAAACATTGGGAGTAACACTGCCTTCTACCATTGATTTGTATACTTTAACTGCTTCTTCAAAATTCCCACTTCGGAAATAAGCATTGATTAGAGTATTATAAGTATATACATTGGGAATCAAACCTTGGTTATGAATATCATTGAATAACTCTTTACATTTGTTTACCATTTTCTTCTTGGAAAACCCATTCATTAAGGAATTATATGTGATAATACTCGGCTTCACGTTCGATTCCACCATTTTGTCATGTAACACAAGAGCTTCATCAAGCTTCCCCAAATTACATAGCCCATTGATTAAAGAATTATAAGTAGCCACATCGGGTTTTAATCCACTGACTTCCATTTTCTTGAAAAAGTTCATTGCAGTAGAGAGATTTTCATCTTTACAAAACCCATCAATGAGGGCATTGTATGTAATTTCATTAGGGGAGATTTTCTTTTTGATCATTTCTTTCATTAGGGCTTCAGCTTTATACATTTTACCAGATCCACCTTTTTTACAGTAGCCATCAATGAGTGTGTTGTAGGTCACTACTGAAGGCAAAATCCCTCTACTTTGCATATCTTCAAGAACATCTCCTGCCTTGTGAAGCCTCCCAACTTTGCATAACCCATTGATTACCATGTTAAATGTAGATAAATTAAGCTCAATTCTTCTCTTAATCATCTCTCTGTAAACAAACTCAACACGTCCAAATTTCTCTTGATTTATCAATAACTTTATCAATCGATTACATGACCATACTGATAACTTCAGCCCGTAATCACCAGCTCTATCAAAAGCCTCGAAACATAAATCTGTCTTTGAGTTCTTCGCATAACCTAATATTAACAAATCAACTATAATCGAATTTGCACAGACATTATCGCAAACCCTCTCAAGCATACGGAGAATTGAAGAAGGAGAGTACTTACTAATCGCAATCTTAACATAATGATTATCCAACAAAGCCCTAATTCTTCCGAACTGTTTACCATTTGCTAGCAGGTAAAACAATCTGCAGTAATGTTCAAGTGAGTGGGATACCTGGAACTCTTGGTGTGACCACTTGAAGTATCCTAGAACGACGTCGTAAGGTGCGCCCCAATCATAAAGTTGTTGAAGAAAACTGTCGGGGTTTGTGGATTTGGTTAGGATTTTGAGAGCACTCCAATGTTGTTTTCTTATGAGATCAGAGGACGAATGTAAGTCTAATGGGTGAGAAGGAAGAGGTTCAGGAACGGAATCTGATGAATAAGAAGAAGAACCGAGCGGCGAAGCCCTAATGCAGGGAACTCGGGTGGTAAAACGAAAACGACGAAGAGCAATCATGGTAAACGATGATCACTAAGATATCTTTTGTGTTCGATTGTAATGACTAGGGTTCCAAACGGGTGTTTGAGATTGTTGATTCCTAAAACGTTTTTGTGCAAAAATGCTAAAATTAAAACGGAAAATGACTTTCGGTAACTTAGGTGTTTTGTTTTCTGATTAAAAAAAAAAAAAAAAAAAAAAAAAAAAAACTTTATTGATGCGCAGCATACGTGGTAAGATTTTTAATTTTACAGTTCTTTCATTTTTTAGAATTTTTCGGAATAAAAAACTTTATGTTTGTTAAAAAAAAAGATAATGCCTCCACTCAAAAAATAAAATTAAAGTATACTACATCTAAAGTATACTAACAACTCTCAAATTTCGGTCAATAAATTTCAATCGATTCTCGAACGTTTCTAAGACTTGATCTCAAGAATGATATCATTGTATTTTCGGGAAAATATTAATGACAAAGTAACCGTAATAACTATAATCGTGTACTATTTTATATATATATATATATATATATATATATATATATATATATATATATATATATATATATATATATATATATATATATAAAAGTTCAATAGAAAACCAATATGGATCAAAGAACCAATGAATTCATCTTAACCATCTATTTTCTTTTAATCTTGGCCATTAATCATTAATTAACAAAAAGAAAAACACAGAGGGGCATTTTGGTAAGTTCAGGGTCTCATTTAATATTCATGTTTGTCTCTGTTAGCGGTTTTTGTTTTTGTCATTCATCTTCTCTAACACCGATCGATCCAAAATGCATGTTCTTTGAAATCTCAACATTTTTCATCCAGTTTACTAATAGTTTCTTCAGATTTCAGCTGATAATCAGGTATTTTTAACATCTATTCATTTTTCGTTTATGATTATTAGGTTAATTATGGACTTTGATTTTACCGTTTTTTTTTCGATGCATTGTTTATCAATCTTATTTTTATTGTTATTGCAATCGTCTAATTGTCAAATTCTATTGATTTTACCGTTTAATCTTCAGATTGTTATGTTTAGTATTGATAATTTGCTAATTTTATGTCATATGTTGAATATCCGTTTGATGTTACTGTTTTTCATTCGATCGTTTATGTAATCATTCGTCTATAATGCATATTCGACATTTAGATAATGTCACACCCCAAAACCGGAACGGCGGAAACGTTCTGGGGTGGATGACGTCATGTCAAGTATCACAACACATGCATTATAGTAATCAAAGTACAACAAAACATTGCATTAATAGTAATAGTTTTACAAGGTTACATTACAACAATTTAAAGTAATACAAGTAATAGAATAAATACAGCGTGGTACTAAGCTATCTTCATCAACAGCTCCGGGGATGTACCTGTCTAATGCTAACCTGAGAATACAAGTTATTTAAAAAGCGAGTATCAGCATTTTTACAATGCTGGTGAGTTCATAAGCATTTAGTGACATTTCATTCAAATAACTTAATAAAGTGATAGTTTAAGTGATTTCAGTGTATTAGTGTTCTTTCCAGAAAATCCTATATTTTTTTTAATAAAAGCAGCCTTCTACCAAGACTGGTCAGTGTAATGTGGTAAGAAAAGTTTCCCTTAGTTGCTAATAATATCAAAATGCTGAATTTGATTATTAAAGAAAGCAGAGGCATTAGGGAATAACAAATGCCTCAGCAGTGAGGACTGCTGACTAAGGCAAAAGAGTCATAGACTCCAGGAAAGTATTGAACTAACGACACGCCTGGTTCAGTCTAACAAATGGAGAAACAGACCCCCGAAGGTACCAAATGCAAGGTACAACTGGTAAGGTCTAAAACAGTGAACGCAGACCGAAGACGATACCAAATGGAAGGTACATCTTGCGAGGTCATAAAAATGAAGACAGACCGCAGACGTTACCAAATGAAAGGTACATCTCGCAAGGTCAAAACAGTGAAGACAGACCACAGACGATACCAAATGAAAGGTACATCTCGCAAGGTCAAAACAGTGAAGACAGACCACAGATGATACCAAATGAATGGTACATCTCGCAAGGTCAAAACAGTGAAGACAGACCACAGACGATACCAAATGAATGGTACATCTCGCAAGGTCAAAACAGTGAAGACAGACCGCAGACGATACCAAATGAAAGGTATATCTCGCAAGGTCAAACAGAGATAACAGACCCCAGACAGTATCAAGTGAAAGATACAGCTAGCAAGGTCAAAACAGTGTGACTCTGAAAAAGGTGATATCAGCATACAGTGTAAATCGCTGACAAAATACCGTTACCTTAAAGCCATGAATTATAAGGCAACCCAGGATACTCGTAACCATACTGACTAGATTCTAGACGCCCTACAGCATTTATATAATGTGACATTTATCACCCCTTGGCTTGGTAGGCCGTGGACTGTAGCTAGCAGTCAGGGTGCGGGGTTGTCAATCCCGTATAGGCCTATACACACAATGTCCGCTCTCCCTACAGGAGACTCTGGTTACCAACTAGACGACGGAGAAGGCCGCGTCCCGAAGATGCATCCCAAATAGAGGATAGTGTGTTACTAAGAGGGAGTGGGTTTCTAATGTAAGTGTAGACTAGAGGTAGAGACTCTTAACAGACTGAAGAAAACTCGTATGTCTATGCTCGTATACATAATATATAACTAATGAATCGAACGACCTTCAGATGGACATCCGATCCCACCAGACCACATCTCAACGAAGAAAAGGAAATAGGGCGGACAAGCCTTCCTAAGTCCTTCAATCATTATTTATATGCATCTATACAAGCATAAACATACATCTAACTACGCTTGAGTGTGTATCATACAGTGAAGTATAAGTGTACAGTGGAACATCTGAGTCATGAAGTATAAGAGTACAGTGGAACATTCGAGTCGTGAAGTATAAGAGTACAGTGGAACATCCGAGTCGTGAAGTATACGTGTACAGTATGGGATAATCGAACCATGAAGTATAAGCGTACCAAGTATAAGTGTATCACGAAGCAGAGACGACAATAAGTGATGTAAGAACTTCTATCAAGTATAAGTGGAGTAAAGTCGTTATCCAGTATAAGTGAAGGAGAAATCGTATCACTAAGTAAGAGCGTGAATAAGTATAAGCGTCATCAAGTATAAGCGACTATAGGTATAAGTGAAAGTGTTACCGAGTCAGAGTATAACATAAGTATAAGTGAAGCAGCAGTGTTTAACAAGTAAAAGTATACGTCAAAAAGGGAAATCTTTAATGAAAAGCCTTTATGTACAGAGAAAATCACAAATTGTATTCCTTTGTAAACTACATTTAAAACCTTAGAGGATCTTTCATAAACCAATTTAGGATGAATTTGAATAAATCAGTATAAGTAAAAGTTATGAAACAGGTAAAAGTCATTTTAGTGTCCCACTCGGTAAGACAATGTAAAAGTGGTAAAATCTTGTGCATGCGGGTTATCAATCATATACGATTGACATGATAACTGGCATGTTTAACTTGTATTCCCCCCTATAAAACATTTAAAAGCATTTAAAAGGTTCATTCAGGGGTATGAACTCACCTGGTGTAAGTAGGTCCGACGAAAGTGTCGATTGGGCGTTCGGGGTCACGCAAGGACTTGAACACACACAAGGACCTATTTTAACATATGATAGCATATGTTCACATACAATTAGCATATAATATACTAATTAAACAATTATAGACACTCAAAGGAGTGGAAAACACTTTTGGCTAAGTGTTTGGAGTCCCTGGTAGCGTTTAAGGGTGCTAAGGGCCTCCTATCGGTTGTGGAACTTTGCTAAACTCAAATATCAAGTGTGTGAAGGGTTTTAAAGCATTAACATGGACCATTTTGGAGTTTACGGCCCAACCTAAGGGAGTTTACGGCCGTAAACTCCCAAGGTCTTATTCTTGGGTGTTTGATGCTTCTAGCTTGTTCATTGAATTATTCTAAGCATTTTTCCTAAAGGGCATGAGTGGATTTGAGGTTCCTAAGGGCCTTATAATGGAGTTTACGGCCTAAGAACAACTCCTAAAGGAGTTTATGGCCGTAAACTCTAAATCATTGAGTTTGGTGATGTTTCAAGCCCCTAATGCCTTTCTAGTGATTTCTAATGAAGTTTGATGCTATTTTGGGTGATTAAAACCAACATTTTGGGCATGTTTGGGGAGTTTACGGCCTAAACTTGTGCTTGGGCCGTAAACTCTCTTTTGTCCTTCATTTTGGTGTGTTTTAGTGATCTAAACCCAAATACCAAGTCCCTAAATTATGTATGAAGCCCTAGGATGAGTTTGGAGTGCATTTGGGACCTTTTAACATGATTTTGAGGAGTTTACGGCCTAAGCTTGTGCTTGGGCCGTAAACTCTTGTTTGAGTCCTAAAATCATGCATTTTAATGTTTAAACACCCCAAGGCTATATCCCCTAATTATTTCCAAGCTTATGGACAAGTTTAGAGGCATGTTTGGCACCATTTTAGGGGTTTACGGCCCTAGAGTGTTCTTGGGCCGTAAACTCCTTATACCATGCCTTCTTGGATGATTTTTTTGGGCTATAAACATAAATTAATACGTTTAGAATAGGCTAGGGTAAGCGGACTTACAATTTGGAAGCGTTTGGTTGCGGATTCGGGGCGAAAACGGGTCTAGAGAGAGAGTATAGAGAGAGAGAGTGTAAAAAGTCTCCCATTTGACTCCACTCACCCATATATAGGTTTCACAGTCGGGGCTCAGTGGAATTCTACCGGATACTGCCGTTAAACGGGGCTTTTGGTCGCACCCGATTTAGTGGTCGTAATAATAAACTAATATTTTCCAAGTAAATGGAAATATGTGCTATGTATTTTATTTCCTTTTATCACGACTTAACGGCATATAAATATACACAATTGAAATGTTTATTAAACTTGAAGACTTCTCATTAACGGAACTTTTGAACAGTGGAATATTCCGTTAACGGTAACGGAGAAATGTAACGGGACAACTTGGGTTGTCACAGATAATCAATTAT